CTCACCAGCACTTAGTACAGGGGGAGAATCACTTCTCTGGTCCTGCTGGCCACACTGTTCCTGAACCAGGCTAGGATACCATTGGCCTTCTTGGTCACCTGGACACACTGCTGGCTCATGTTCAGCTTCCTGTCAGTCCAAACTCCCAGGTCCCTCTCTGCCTGGCTGCTCTCCAGCCACTCTGCCGAGCCTTTAGTGCTTCAGGGGATTGTTGTGGCCAAAGTGGAGGACCCGGCACTTGGCCCTGTTGAACCTCATCCTGTTGGAATCAGCCCAACTCTCCAGCCTGTCCAGGTCCCTCTGTAGAGCCCTCCTGCTTTCTAGCTGATCAACACTCACCCCCAACTTGGTGTCATCTGCAAATTTGCTAATGGTGGACTCAATCCCCTCACCTCAATCATCAGTAAGGATATTAAACAGAACTGGGCCCAACACTGATCCCTGGGGCACACCACTAGTGACCAGACACCAACTGGATGCAGCACCGTTCACCACCACTCTCTGGGCCCGGCTCTACAGCCAGTTCCTAACCCATCACAGAGTGCCCCTGTCCAAGCCGTGGGCTACCAGCTTTTTCAGGAGTATGCCATGGGAGACGGTGTCAAAGGCTTTGCTGAAGTCCAGGTAGACCACATCCACAGCCTTCCCCTCATCTACCAGGGGGGTCACCTGATCATAAAAGGAGATCAGGTTGGTCAGACAGGACCTGCCCCTCCTAAACCCGTGCTGGCTGGGTCTGATCACTTGTCTATCCTGTAGGTTCCGTGTGATTGCAGTTAGGATGATCTGCTCCATAACCTTGCCAGGCACTGAGGTCAGGCTGATGGGCCTGTAGTTTCCCAGGTCCTCCTTCTGGCCCTTTTAGTGGGTCAGTGTGACATTCGCCAACTTCCAATCATCTGGGACCTCCCCAGTGAGCCAGGACTGTTGATAGATGATGGAGAGCGGCTTGGTAAGCTCTTCCACCAGCTCCTTCATCACCCTTGGGTGGATCCCATCTGTCCCACAGACTTGTGGGGATCCAAGTGGCTCAGCAGGTCGCTAACTGTTTCCTCCTGGATTACAGGGGGTTTATTCAGATTCTTATCTCTTTCTACAAGCTCCAGAAGCCAGTTGTCCTCAGGACAACCTGTCTTGCTGTTGAAAACTGAGGTAAAGAAGGTGTTAAATATCAGCCTTTTCCTCGTCTTTGATAACTATATTCCCGCCCATGTCCAATAAATGTGGTGCTTAGGGATATCATTTAGTGGGACTTGGCAGAATTGTGCTAACAGTTGGACTAAATTATTTGGAAGGTCTTTTCCAACCTAAAATAGTCTATGATTCTGTGATACAGGCATCCTCAACACCAGATGTACAACCACCGCAACCTCGTTCCTTGATTTAGAGAGGAGCTGTAATGTTGCTTTGTAAGGGCTTGTATGTTCTGTTGGAGGCATGCACGTATCAGCACAAGATACAAATCAAATTCACGCTGCCTGATCTGAGTGGATCTGTACACCAGAACTGCTCAGGAAGGTACCTACATTTGATTCCCTTAAAAGGTTTTTCACTGACGTCAGAACCTAGGGATTCTTGAGCACTGGTCCAGCTGATAAGGCCTTATGCTTTGTAGCAAAAACGTTTTCTTCCTAAACATCAGTTGCATTTGCTGATGTCTTTGTTTTATCATTAGGGAAATAGTGAAGGTGTATAAAAATTAGGGTTCTTTAATCAGATAGCTTTGGTTTAACTTTCAGAAGATATGTATGAACAGAAGATAAATATGTGAATAACTGGCCTGGATTATATGTCTGTACCTGAATTTCCCTGTGGGGAAAGTGGAGAGAAAGACACTGACTGTCTTTCTAAAGTGTTGCTAAGATTTACTATCAAAAAAATGCAGGAATAACAGGAAGGAAAGATCATCAATGACAGCTGAGCAGACCGTTAGTTAGGAAATGGTATGATGATCCAGGCTGACATTTTTATTGCTTTGTAAACTCATTTATTACCCATGTTATTAGTTCTGAGAATCAAAACAAAATGGGAAAGGAGTTGGCAGCAATGAGATTTAAAGGTTGGTGTGAACATCATTTCTAGGAAAGCTGATACAGAAGGAGCAGAGAAGTTCCAGATTGTTGAGTTTTTGGGAAAGAGACCATCAGAAACATTCTGCAAGTAAACTATGAGTGGCTGAATACATCAGTCTCTGGATATTCATTTTCATGTAGTATTGGACAACAAAGCTTTAACAGAGAAGGCTCCCTTTCTCAGTCAAATTACAGGCTGGACCCCCCCAAGCTGATGTGTCCCAAGCACTGGGAGAGCCTGGCAAAGGCTTGTCTCTGCTGAGCTGTAACAAGCCTCTTCACAGGGATTTGGAGATGCAGCTCCTTCTGTATCCAGAGTAGCACTGGAAAGATTTTTGTAAAATGTTTTGAAGTCTGACTGTGCCAGACCCTTGTGTCTGATGATTATGTTTGTTCAAGTTAGACCTCTGAGTTTATAACAATGGAATTATCTATTTTTCAGAACAATTAACACGATGCTATTGTATGAGCTGGAGGTTGGAGGATTAATGTGGTTTTATCTACAGTGCACTTTTAAAAGCTAATTAAGAATCATTCAGTTCACTCTGTACTAAAGACTGAGAACATTTCACGCTAGATGACTCTTGATCCTCTGAAGGAGCAGAAAGAGAGGGGGAGAGAGAAAGAGGAATGGATGAAGAGAGAATTGTAGAAAGAATGAGCTGGTATTCAAATAAACAAATACGTCATAGGGATGCAGTTAGTAGAAAGCAATAGAAAAAAAGTAATTCTGGTAACACTAGAGATAAAATTGTCTCTTGGACCAAAGGGCTAATCTAAACTATTAATCTGAAATATAATCAGTATTTGAAATTACAAGTTTTCCTTGTTAAAGGAAGAGAGATGAAAAGGAATAAAGAGAAGTGCTTCTCTAAGCCCATTGTTTTAGAGTTTAGAGACATGTTTAGAGACATGTTTTTGTCTCCTAGTGTTTGCAGAGTATCTCCTCCTTCTCCTCTCTCTCTCTTGTGCCTGACATTCTGGATATGGGGAAAGCCTCATTAATGGGCCTCCTGTCAGAGATGGGTCTTCTGGGAGAAGTATGCAAGCATGTGGAGCAGAGGTGGTACTTGGGTGCCAGAAGGACCCTGGAGCAGAAGGAGCTGCCTGCTGGTACAGGGAAGGATGTGGGTGGTGGTGAGAAGACAGCTTGCCCCGCAAGCACCTGGGCTTCAGGGATTGTAGGTGCCAGGGGAAGCAAAATGAGGCACAGAATCAGAGATATACAGAGGTAATGCAGAATTTGAGAACCAGGGCGAGGATTTTATTTTCCATACAGTGGTCTCTGCCTAGCCTTTTAAAGGTAAGAAAATTGAAAGTTGTTTCCTGCTTTTGGATGCTTATCTATGCTACTGCTGATTCAAGCACTTGGAGGTTCATTTTCTGTCTCTGTCCAAAGCATGTAAATACTATCAGACATTGAAGTGCCTCATTTCAAAACTGGGCTATGCACTATTATTCTGTTGATCAAATATGGTAATTATTTCAGGTTTAAAACCTTTTAGGGATAACAATAGGTGCTGCCAACCAAAGCTAGAAAGTACACATGCATTCAGAGCAAGCTGAATGAGGAATAACAGTAACATGTGTACTTAGGATATATTATGGATTACCATCCTCTTACACAAAGGCTAGTAAACTCTTCAAAATGCAGCAACCTACAGAGCTAATAAAAGGGATAGAAATGTGCGGATGTCTCGGTTTGTCTAATTTGTGTCTTTCTAGCGCTGGTAGGATGACTCACTGGATTTAGCAACTGCTTGTGAAGATGAACATATTAATAACTTTATGCTGTAGCTCTGCCATAAAATGTAATCTTTTACAATTCTGTATTCTCAAGTGAAATACAAGCTTAGAATCAGAACAAAATTAGAAAAGATATGTGAATTGCCAGCTTATTTTCTTTTAAAACCTGTGTTTATACATTTAAATATGCAACTTAACTTGGAAAAGAGTATTCCCTTTCTACGTCATCCCTTCTCCGGTGTGTACAACTCCCTACTATGAAAGACATTTAAATATAGGACTACCAGGATAGTTGTCCAAGGTAATTTGTGTAGGTTTATATTGTGACAAAACAGCAAGTAGAATCAGTGTTTCTAGGTATTCAGATGATGACCAAACCACTAAACTGATCATTTTTTTTCTCTTTGATTTTAATGAGACAGTTTCACAGATTGTGTAACTTACTGGAGATATCTTTGCATTTGTGCATTGAACATGCTTGGAAATTTACTGAAATAATGGGAAAAAAATTACAAAATTTTTAATGTAGACTAGACCCAAATGTTGATTTCTAATCTTATGGAAAAATCTATCTTTTTATGCATGACAGTCAATTATGTTTAGGATATTCACTAACACTAACTTTTAAAAAATTCTTTTCTGAGGATGAATAAAGCCTCAGAAAGATAACCATATATTTTCAACCACATTTAGTGGTTTGATATGTTAATGTTTCTATTTATTACTTAAGCTTAAAATGAGCTATATTTGTAAAATAATTCATGTAAAAGCTATGCTCGCCATTCAATCTGTTAATGCCATGTACCCTTTGAAACTACTTAGGCCTTTGATTGATTTAATGTATAAGTAAAAGCAGTGTTTCTAACATTTGTGTAAAAATCATAAACTCATAGAACTGAAAATTACATGTATTATATATTTATATATATAATATGCATAAAATATGTATATATGTCACATGCAAAACCACAATATAATATAATATAATATAATAAATATAAACATATATATCTATATAAATATACTGTGATATATCTGCATCTATGTATCCATATCTCCCACTTGGATTCTTAAATGATAATGAATTACATACACCCTTATCTCAAAGGCTTAAAACTTGAAAGTTCTTACACTAAATAGTCAGATATTAACTGCAGAAAAAGTCCAAGTTCAATTTCTTACCTGTTTTTTTAATTTCAGGGACAGCTGTCTTCTCATGAGTTTTCTCTTTTTTTCCTGTTTTTTCTAAGATTTAATTAAAGAAAGTAATTTGCTATGCTAGAACTCTGAATCATACACTCAAATATGTAGTCAGTCAAGTCCTGTTGGGCACATGCTGAAAAAAGTGTGACTTATTTGGGAGTTTAGTTCAGATTATTCCCTTATAGCATTTGCAGCCAACTAGCCCCAGATCAATCAGCTGAAAATGAAAATTAATCAGTATGCATCAACTATGGATGATTTGGACCCTTAATAATTCATCAAAGGCTAGGTGAAAATCATCAGTGCATGACTGTGGTACCTTTTAGCTTAAGCTCCAGTAGCAATGAGATCATTAAAAAATAATGAATGACTTAAATATTTTCACATGAAACAAGACCTTAGTGGATTTCAGATGCTTCCTGGGAATGAATGATCAAAATATTATTTAGATGGATATCATGGCTTTGAGGTTTGGTCACTGTAAGTTTCGATTCTGATTCAATAAAATAAATAAATAAATCAATCTAACTCACTTTTGGAAAGTGATGTGCCATGAATCGAATGATATCTTCCATGAGTTTTGTGTATTGCAGTATCGCTATGTCCTGCTATATACAGACTCTACTAAATTGTTTAAAAAGCCTATAAATGGCCACCAAACAAGACATTTTATTTGTCCAAAAATAAGTTTGGAAAATATTGGATGCTGAACATATCAGATACTAGATACTGAAGAAGTGGTAACATGTAAACAGTGACTAAGCAACTAAGAAAAGGACAGTACAGAGCCAGAAGCATAGGATTAACACATCAGAAAACAAAGAGAAATGAGCCAGGAGTGTGAGTAAAAGCTGAATAAGGTCAGTGAAAAACATTTCCAACTCATACCTTTCATCTTTGTTTCAGTCCTATTCCTTTTTTCATCGGTCTTCTTCTTTTCCTCTTTTCTCTCTAAAAAAGGAAATAGAAGTTCAGTTGACTATTTTTACATAGATACACACACACAAATGTGTATGTTTGTATGTATGTATACATTTGGGATGGGACTCCTTCTCTAACTGCAATACGTTCTAGATTTGATAACCTGGTCACTTACTACCAGCAGCTCAGAAGGACAGCTTAATACTCTGAGAGTGAATGTGGTGCAAAGGATAGAACTGGAATAAGTATGTACACCAGATTATTAATTAAGTAACTACTAATTCAGGAAGTTATGCCCATTAACATGGTGAAACTAAGAGTTTTTTGTGGTGACTCAATAGCCACGCGCCTGTTCTGCTTCTTTTGTAAAGTCTAACTGAGTGGCAGCAAAACTTGAAAGTGGTACTTGGGAACAAGTGTAGAATGCCATGATAAGCCTGCATGTACAATATATCTTTATAACACCTTTTATGAATTGAATCTTTGAAACTATCATTACAAGACTTCACTTTTTCACAGAGAGTTGCTGTTAAAGTATCATTACAAAAGAACATGACTTGTTCTTTTAAAAGCATCTGCCTCTATTTTGTCAATTAACTGAACAACAGTAGAAATAAGGGGAATATTTTTCCTTTTTTTACAACAAGCTACAACAATTTAATTACTAATTTCATTAATGTTTTTAATTAGAAAACTGAGAGTTCAGTAGAGGATATGAGGAAGCTGTAATTCTTACTTTTCCTTTGGGAAATGAATTCCTTTTTTGATGGGGAAGAATACAAGAATACAAGAGTAGCTAATCTAAGTGTTCTTTTAATTGCTCATCCATGAAAAACCAAATTTGTTACCATCAGGTTGTACTGCATGGCTTTGGGTGTTGATGTAGTTATACATAGAGAAACTAAAATTTTGTGATGTTTTACTGTTACATATGTGGATAAGAAACCAAATTTTACTATCTTACAAAAGAGAGAACCATAAACCTTGAAGCAAGAGTCTTTTCCTTAATTGAAAAATATTTAAGGTATGGAAGTCTTTTCAGATCCAAGAAGAAAATATACTCCTACTTCTTGCATAAACTAACATGAAGACAAGGGAAATATAATTAAAAAAACCAACTTACTTTTCACGTCTCTAGGTACCACAATAGACTTTTCTTCTGCATGAAAAAATACATACAAATGAGGAAAAAAATTAATCTGTATAACATCTTCCTAAACCAAAATAAATATATGCAAATTTGATTTTTGAAAAATTTAAAAATTACTGGCTCTATAGAGTACATGAATTCCACAGTCTGTCCATGGTGGTTTCATAAATTTTCTATTTTGCCTATCGTGGAGGCAATGTATTTACCAATATTCAGGGTCTCCCCAAACCACACTTGTTCTGATTTTCTGAAAGTAGGATTTAATGTTAAGCATAATCTTGATGTGTTACAGCCCTTTCTGCTTTAAACAGATTTGTTCAAGACATTTCTCTAGTTGTTGTCTTCAGAAAATGAAACAGAAAATCCTTACATGCATTCTACAGAATGTTTCTCCTGGTGTTTTATGTGCTTAGGTCTTCAGGAGTGTGCTTTGTGATACTCAGGTTTCTTAGACATGTATAGAGCACTACAGCTGTGTTCATCCTCCACAAACTTGTTTGGAGCTTCATTTTCTTGTATATTTGAATATTTTTGTTATTGGCTATCTCTAGGGTTCCAAGGAGTCTCTCTCTCTCTCTCTCTCTCTCTTTCTGACACGCCATTCGAGAAACTTGTGCTAGGAACTGTGGATGTCTCCTCAAAATGGAAGTCTCTCAGCTTCAGATTTCACCTAAGCTGTTCCACAGCTCCACTTTCCTGTGCAACCTGACCAGCCTGAGCGGTCATGTCTGCTAATGACCCATCAAGGATGCCAAAAATATCTCATGACTCACAATCACCCATTGAGGAACTCCCTACCCTGGAGGAGGTACTGGGCATTCCCACTCGAACCTGAGTGTATATAATCTTGGGGTCTTGGGACTTCTGGGTCCACTTGTTGGATCCAGAGGAGGACCAGAACCTCGACCAGACTGTGACCAGCACTCTCATCAACAGATTTTCCTTTCCTTTTACTTTGGACTCAGGGGGATCAATATGGGGCTCAACACAGCGGCCAAAGAACACCATTCTGTTCCTGCCCCAGGGTACTGGGTTATACATCTGGGTTTTGTGGTTTAAAACCAATTGTTTGTCTGTATAATTGTATTTATTGTATTATTTTTATTAAATTGTAACTCTGACTTATAATCTCTTTTGAGTTGGGTTCATTTCTCCTGCAGGTTTACGTTTAAACTAGCACACACCAGGAGTGCTAGTCCTGAACCACATTTTACAGATAGGGTGTAAGACAAAAAGACCTCATCTTCAAAAACCTGCAATACCTTTACAAGAATGAAATAGGGATATATGCAGCTGGTAGAGTACATTACAGAATCAGTCAGCCAGGCAAGCAATGGACTTTTCACTTAATCAAGGTTTTTTTTTCTGTAGGCTCTGGCAGAAGTTGAGCTTTACGTAGTATAAGAAGTACAGTGATCACAAGAAATGTGAATTAAAGCAGTGATGTACTACTGAATGGGAAATTCAGGTAAATTTTTTCCTAGGCGAAGAATAAGAACAAGCAGCATAGAGTAGTTTTCCTGAGAAGTGACTGAACTGAACAGCCATTAGAGCAAAGAAGCATCTAAGATGGAATTATTTATTTACTCATCTTTGACAATGTCTTTGTGTTGTTCTCATTGAACAGCAACTAATTCTTGAACAACAGTGGGAGAGGAGATAGCAGAAGCATGTTAACAATGCAGTACTTGAAAACAGGCCTTGTGAGACTGATCTGCTACTGTGCCAGCAATGAGTGGAATCTAAATTTAGGGATGCTCATGAGTTACTGGGCATAGTGTCATGGGAATGCTGCATAGGAACTGGAAGAAGAAGGTGCTCTGAAAGTTTCTTCTCTGAATTGCTCCTGATGGTTCATGTGTTTATGGAAAAACTGACTCAAAGGAATTGTCAGCTCACCCCGTCTCCTCTCAGAAACCAAGGTAAGGAGGGCAGCAAAACACAGCCACGATTTCCTTCTTGTGCAGAGGCATGCATACAGCAAACACTGACTAGTGGGACTGAATGCCAGAAGTCTGGAGATGTTTTGGTTCACCAAACCTTTCTTAAGTTCAGGTACTTATATAGAGCTTATCTACATTTATCTAAACCCCTGTTGCCAGGAAATCTCAGGAGAAAAGCTCTTGTGAGAGATTTTAGATATTGCCTGACTTCGTGAAATACTACAACACCTTTTCTTGCCTACTGATTCTCATCCTGGTAGAATTAAAGAGCAGCAAAATATGTGTATAGTCACTTACACACAAACCAGAACAAAACAAACATTTACTTAACTTTTCCTGAGAAACCATAATTCAGACTGAACACAGTAACTTAATTCTGGTTTTCTCCAAACAGCTCTGTACATCTTAAGATGTCACTGGCATAATTTTAAAAGACCATTCCTTATTAATTTTTACGGGTTTACAGTTGTTCTTTGTTTTACTGGTGACTGCAATACTTTTCCTGCTGAACTCAATGAAAGTTTTGCTGTTGATTTCAGTGGAATTTGGATACCCTTTTAAATATTAAAATAACTAGTTGTGTTTCAGTTTTTGATGATATTTCTTTCCCCTTTGTGTTTTGCTTAGAGTGGAGACTGACAATGTTGCATTTTCAATTCCAAACAATTTAACACATTCACAAAATAAGGTCCCTTTAGGGTTACAAAGCTTCTGGAGGAATGGAAAAACAATGCAAGGAAATATTTCTGCTTAACTTAGGATGTCATGGAAACTCATAGTTTTAAGATTAAGTCTAAATGTCAATTAAAAATTTACCTCAACTGTCTCTTTGAAAAAAATCCCTTTCTGTGTCCTTGTTGGTCCAGTTATTTTCTCTATGAGAAATAATTCTCTCTAGATTCACCCAAACTACAGAAAGGTCAAGAAAGATCAAAGAAACCTAAATAATATTAAAGTTCTTAGAATTGCTTCTTTTAACACACAAACACATACACGTGCACACACACATACACACTCACATGCTCTCTCTAACTTACAGGTGAATGCTTAGGCCAAAATGAAGTGCATTTTTTTGCAAAGCTCTGTTTAAGTAGCACCTTTTTTTTTTTTTCAGCAGAGTAATGAAATATGATTTGTTCTCATATCGAGCAAGTGAGAGATTATTGAGGCACATGGATAATTTGAGATATAGCAGAAATCCTAGGCAATTTCTCCAGCTTGACTTTGCTTTTTGAAGCTGCTTTACTGTTTTCAAATCCCAATCTGAAACACTATTTGGCAGCTGTGAAGATTGTTTATGGAGATATTTTTGAGGTCTGCAGAATCTATGTAATAGCAGTACCATGCTTGAAATTCCTAATGTTTTCATGTGACCTACATAAATGTTTCTCATTTCTTCCTGTAGTGATTATAGGCTCCTTTTTCATGGCTCTGTTGAATTAAGCATCAGAACTGTTTGCTAATAGCATGAAGCCATATGTTGCCCTCACTAAAAAACACAGTGGGGAGTAAAGGGATAAAAATACCAGTGCAATGAAGCCAGAGCATGCATGCCAAGAGAAAAAAGAGAGGGCAGGCCAATTTACAAGACAAGACCAGTAATAGGAAATCCACTGGACAGTAGTCAATGGCAAACATGATGCAAATATGATTTGACAGAGAATTAAATTCCCAGGGGAACACTGACTTGTGGTACAACCTTCACTAAAGAGAGCAAACCAACAGAGTTAAGGCAGCAGTTAGCCTTCTCCATCCTTATGACTAACATTCCTACTAGGTAACATGAATCAACAGCAGCACCAATTGTGTTACCAGTGCTGGGAAGGATATTGTTGTCACTTTTTATGGGGCTTACTTTTGAGCAAGAATGTCTGAGCTTTATTAATGGAATGATGCAGGACCTCTTCTGCAGGAGTTTCTCTTTTCTTTCCAAAGAAAAATGGAATTTCTGCTTTTGAAAGCCCAGAGAATCTCAACCAAGTAAGTATTTTTCCATTTGCAGGTACAATATATGCAAAATATTATTGCTTTTCTGTAATATTTAAAAAGCATTTGAAAAAGTTAAAATAATCTTCAGAACTAATTGTTTTTATTTTATTGGGTAAATTTTGGTGAATATTTAAAATGGATAATCTAATATTGTAAATTGTATTATTATTATTAATAATATTAATGATGAGAAACCAAATATGTCTAATCAAAATAGGCATCTTCATAAATACCTTTCTACATTTGAGTAAGTTTTTTTCTAGTGTCTGTTTAACTTTTTGTATTTTATGATAGAATAAAAGTAGTACAGAAGAGCCTCATGTCATTAAGGAAAATGTCAAGGGCTTTCTGAAACCATGACAATTTAGGGTTTTTTTCATCTCAGCTAAATCATTAGAATGTACTGCTTATATGTCTAATCTAAATCATTAAATAACTCACTTTGAAACCTTGTTCGTATTATTTCAAAGGTTTTACTGTCTTCAGTACAGACTCATGGAGATTTAAGGCCCATGTTTCTCAAAAAACCTTGTTATGCTACATATAATGTGTTAAAACTAACCAAACTGTTCCATCTAATAACCTAGATTAAAACCTAGCCTGTTGTATTGGGCTATTTCTCATAGCACTATTTTTATCTTTTTTTTATTATTATTATTTTTATTCTCTCTTGGATTAAAATTTATCAGAAAATGGATTTTTATCCACAACTCATGTCAGTATTATTAGGAATACTTCAAATTGGAAGAATTTTTTCAAAATTGTGCTTTTTGGAAAGGTTTTGGTTGTATCTTGAATCACTGTCTTTCACTGGAAGGATTTTTTTTTTAGGGCAATTGATTTTATAGTACAAAGGAAAAAAATGAGTTTTTTTAATAGAACAATCTTTGTACAGAAGAGAAGGCAGACATCAACAGACTGTACAGAAGATTGATTTGTACAAGATTTATACACTTCTATACATCAAGGAAGCTTTGTCAAAATTTGTATTGACTTTAGTAATTTAAATATTCTTGGCTATATTCTGTAATATTATATTCATGAACAGGGGTATAGACTAGAAATTCTTAAGATAGTCGGATAGTGTACATTCTATACAGCAATAAACATAGATGTAGTTGCCAATTCAGCCTCCGCAGGAGTTTTGGAGGAAGTTAAACATATTTCACAGCAATTCACTTTATTACATTCTGCAAAATTTGTCATTAGAGGATTCAAACAGTGACCTAGAAAAAATATCTTTTCCTCATAGGTTCCCTGAAGATGCTTCAGAAACTTTAATTTTTTTCTTTTTTTTTTCCTTCATTTAATATCACAAATACCAGCAAGATGGCAAGGAACAGCCGGTATACTTCAGTCAAAGAAGGGGGATATGACAGAGCCTGTCACAATGCATTAACAAATCAGAATGGTTATGTTGATGACTCTTCCATTATCAGTGCTATCTTACTTCAAGATGCAAGTACAGAGTTCTAGGACAATACAACCTGGAAAATCATACTCAGATACAAGGCCATTCTGAGGTTTTTCATGATACAGGGCTCTTCAAAGTGGTATAAAGCAAAGTCTGTTTGAGATCATATGTAATATTCATTAAGATTCCTTCCACCAGGAGAAACATTTTGATAAAGGCTTCTCACAAAAGTGCTGTGATCTTGTGAGAAGGCAAAGACATACTATTCTGGAGCAATTAACATGAAGCCTTATGGATAACTACCTAAGCCTCTGAGCTTAGTTTTGACATTTCTTGTCTAACTGCAGCATCTTCCTGAGAGATTACCCTGCCATGTCAGAGAGCTTAACATGAGAGGACTATCAGAAAGGAGAGTCCTTCTTAGGTGAATGGGGAATGGAGGAAGCTAAAAGCTACGTGAGCTGAGTGAAAAAGTCAAGACCTGAGAGAGAGAATCACAGGGGATCAGTATACACTGCAAAGCAGTTTTAGGATACCAGTGAATAACAAAACACAAGAAATCTAGAGTTAAAAGAGGTGGAGAAGAGTACAGTCAAGGAAGAAGAAAAATATTAAAGTCAAAGTTCAGGAAGCCATGGAGAACTGATCTGTTCAAATTACAGGCGACACCAGTGTCCTCCCTAGATGGCAGCATCAGAGTGTCAGCTAAGCTGAGAGCACTGTTCCCAAGTCCTTGTAAAAGCTCCAGAAAAAGATAAGATAAAGAATTTAGAAGTTATTTCACTTTGCAGTTTACCAAACAAGGTTTCCAAGCTTGAAAACTAGGTAGAAGTTAGGTATCAATGCCTTTCTCTACACAAATTTCCTTTTCCTGTTTCTCTTGTTTATTGTTACAGGATCTTTTGTTTTGTTTTATTATTCTCTTCTGTTGGTGACCTGAAACTTCAAACTCTTTGTTGAACTTTGATGGTAAGATCTTTGAAAAGAGCCAAAGAACCATGAAATAGGAGAGCAATGATCTGTTCTTTTTCTTTCTGACTGGATGAATACAAAGCATTTTGTGTTTTGACCAGGAGATAGCTGAAAATTTCACATACACACTTTAATGCCATTTATTGAATACTACTAGAATATAGTATACAAACTGGGATTGTCTTACATAATTACCCCTTTTCCAAAAAATTTGCTGTGGAGGTGAAGGAAGAGCAAATGGTAATGGCAAGGAGAGAAAGTTTGAGTTTTAATACATAATAACGATATACTCTTTTTCTAAGACCTCAAGAATTCAGCAGAACATAGTATCTACAGGGCATAGGATAGTATACAGGAAAAGCTTTCTATTTGAAGGTATCAAAAAATCTAAAAATTCTGGAGATATCTGGCACATTTACTGCCACTATTTTCACCTTATCAGAAAACAAGAATGGACCAAGGTCATGTAAGAAAGCAGTGGCAAAACAGAGTAAAAGTGAAAACATGTCACTCTAGAAAAAGAGTAAGATCCTTTCAGCCTTCACCAGTGGCATGATTATGTATATAGTGTCTGACTATCACTGAGTTGGAAAGCCCAGGGTGTAAATAGATTGGTTTCATAAATTTCCTGTGGGCTAACCATTCTGTTACTTCCTACCATTTTACCATTTTTTTTGGAACTGGTTTCTTCTGTCAGAGGCTGGGCCAGTCTTTTTTATAAAAAGTGCATTTCTCAGTTAATAAATGCTTCTACTTATTCCCTTTTCTGCGAACTTAATATACTATTTTCAATTATATTTATGATAAGAAGGATCTATGGTTCAATCTGCCCCTTCTCCTGATCAGGGATATTTAGTGATGTACCAGTCATAAAGGTGTGTAAGCACTAAGAAGTCACATGGAGATATCTCTTTATCTATTTCAGAGATTTATGTTTCTCTACCTAGTCCTCTTTTTCCCTTCTGATCTTGTGCCAAATATTCCCATAAATTACTTATTTTTTTTCCTCAGGGCTGAAATAAAACTTCAGGGTTTAGGGTTTCTAAAGGCAGTGTGACATATTTTCTCATATATGGAAAACACAGAATAGCACAATATAACAGCTTTTCACAGTAGCATTTTACAAGTAATTCTGCCTTCTTCATTTCCTTTAAAACTCTTGCATGAGCAGTATTGTATCTCAGTGACCAGCCTTGAGCTTTAAAGGAAATTCAGTTTTATGGTTCTGAGCAGATAATATGCCCCCCCAATTTGTTTGCCAAAGGGGTATCTAATTTACATTCCCAATTACCTCAATTGCACACATAAATGAGCTAATGAAACACATAAATGTATAACTGGTCATAAATAGTAATTTCTAAGTGCAATTGCAGTAATTGCATGCTCCTCATGATTTTGAAAATCAAGAACCTAATGTTAATTTAATGCTAGTTCATCTTGTATAACAGTTATATTTAAAGCAGAAGTTTATCACTCAGCAAATGTGGCAGTCTTGTTCTATTATGTCTTTTTTCCATTACGGTTAATTGGTGGATAACAGCGTTTAACATTGCAGGGACTTCTTTCTGCTGATAAGCAGGGATCAGGCACTTTCCTAAAATAAACAGGACTGCAAATCTATTTATAAACTATATCGTGTCACAATAACAGCAGTTCTACACTCCTTTAAACAACATATTTAAAAAGAAATATTCATTTGAGGTAACGAGATTTTGGAGAAAGAGATAATAAGCCACATAACTATTTTTGTCCAAATGTTCTGGTCACAATAATCACATCACAGAAATATCTAATTAACGCTTTGTTTTAGTCACAGGTCCTGCCAAAATCTAAGTCTCATTTTCTGTTTCCAAATGCAGTTAAATCTTGTAGCTCTTGTTACTTATTCTGCTGCCATCCCATCTGTTTTTCTCTTAGACTACAATTGATTTCTGGATAATGTAGAACTAAGACCGCCATGAGAGAGATTAACAAATACTGTGGTGTGACTGAATTACTCTGAAGTATCATATGAAAACTTCTATACAATTACTTGAAAAGATTCATGTGTTATTAAATTTGTATTACTAAAATGTATGGTATAAAGACCAAGAATGTATATTGCAGTAGTAATTCTAAGTCATTGGATGTAGTCCATTTTAAAATTAAAATGCGTATTTCAACCACTTTACTGTTATGGTTAGACTATAAACAATATAATTAAATGGCAGGGATTATGTTTTAATCTCTTGAAGGTAAGATCTGACTTTGTATTTGTCTTTTACTGGTTTTAACAATAGAAATAGGGTTGATAAATGCAGAGCCAGAAATATTATGTTCATTATTGCAGATAATGCATAGAAACGTTACCGAATAACAATAGCTGAAAGAGTAATCCAAAGTATATTAAGAGGATAATGTTGATTATGTTTGTAGTTAGATAACTCATGGCTGAACACCATTCAAAGCATTTTACATATTAGGCCTCAATTCTGTAATCTGTTTCACTCAGGAAATCCCCCAAACCATCTGTGGGTGGCTACTACCACAAGGAACACTTAGGTATTGCGCATATTTCAGTGTCCCAACCCTAATTATTAGATCAGCTTTTTAATATAGGTTATACTTACAAAAAATAAAAATAATAATTAAAAAATCCATTAGGACAGATAGACAAGTTAATGAGAAGAAGCCAATAAAAGTAGAAAAACTCAAACTTGCCGTCAACAGCTGCTGGTTTCTTTCTTGGACTGTGTTCTAGAAGAAGACGAGGTGGTACAAATTCCTTATGTCCTGCGTACAAGTATACGGGTTAAGAAGCATAGAAAATGTATTCACTAACAGGCTGAGCAGTTTCACTGGGAGACAATTCTGAACTCTTTTCAAAATTGTTCATGTTTAAAATATTACACTGTGCATAAAAGCTATTATCTTTCTGACACCTTAGGAAGGAAATGTATTTCTCAACAAACAGAGTAATTTATTTTTAAGAGACACATTTGAAATCAATGAAGTCTAGGTGACTCAAGCATATGCTGAAATGCTTACAGTTTTATTTTTCTTCATTAAACTCAAAACTGAACTATAATACTTTGATAATAAGGTTACATATTCATGATACCTCTTCTACAGTAAAGGCTTATTTTCTTCTGTCAAACAAATGATCTTCAGCAGTTCCCTAAAGTCCACTTATTATGAACTCCTTGAAACACCAGTAAAATGATGATGTTTCTCATCCTTAAGGGTTATTCTTAATTAGGCAATACCAACCATGTCATGCATTGTAAACACTGAGGTCCTGATTCCAGCTGCTGGTTGAAACACCTCTACTCTCTCAGACTGTTCAGCTGGGACTTCCTGTACTGTCTCAGCCTACGTGCAGATATCATGCTTTATAACAAAATATTTTTCACTTCATTTCTACAAAGATTCTCAAGCTGATTTAGCCTACTCTTATTACTTACACTTATTTTCTAGTTTCTAACATGTTTTCAGTCTCATTTCCTTTTAATTCCTTTCTCTGACATTTATTCTCAGTAGCTATCACGTCATTGTCATTTGGAAAGTACATTTTTTTGTGACATGAGAAATAAAATTAAGTAGTTAAATATAATATTGATTCAGTCTTAGGTACCAGCATACATTCACTGCACCAGAGTTCACATGCAATCAGGTTGTTAAATCTCAGCTCCAGCTCCACATCAGAAGCTCAAAGTCATGCCTCATGCTTTATTTCTCAGAAGAGAAATTAAGATCTTAATGGGCCTTGGAAACTGCAGCATCTTACTTACCCCTCTCATTTTACAAAGGTATGTGTACTCATGGGGAATGCATGAGAAAAACATCATCTTGGAGACAGCAGTGGGATTTGAGCATCATGGTCTTAATGTTATTGCATCTCATCAGCATATGTACAATTGCAGGCATGTGGTTTAGTTCATCCAGTAATTTGTATAAAATATCACGTACAGAGTAGCTCAGACTTGACTCGTGCCTGAGCTACTGAGAAAATGTTAACACATTGGTAAAATCAATGCTTGAAGGTGCTTTGCAACAAATAGTAAAAATCGGGTTTTACACATAATTCCTGTCTTGGCAATAATGAAAAGTGGATATTTACCAATCTCATATTAGAATAACTATAGTCTTAAAATGAATGTTAGGCAAACTTTAGGAATCCAGGTATTTAGCTATGATTTTCCAAACACTTTATGTCGTAAAAAAAAAAATCTTGAAGTTGCAAACTCAACTAATGATCCACTGAACACTTTTGTTACCAACCAAAATAGAAAAATTATGTTAATAACATTTGCCAAAATACAGAAACTTCATCAACTGAATTTCTAGTTCAGAATGAAAACAAAAAACCAACATAAAAATTAATAAAGAGTGGGTAATCCTATACTTTCTGTTAGGTTTGATCAGACTAAAGATCACTTTTTTTTCCCCCCTAAACTAGATCACTTACCCCCAGGTAGGAAAATTGATCTATAAGTTGGACTAGTTGTTTCATGTGAAAGATGATAAAGAGCAGTGGCTCAGATTGTTGAGTGGATGAGTAATGAAGGATAATCAATGATTTGGACTGCTGTGTAGTATCTACAGTGTGAGGCAATGATCTAACACCTCTAGGTCAAACTGAAGGCTGGCTCCATTATCTTCTTGTTCTTTACTGTAGCAGCAGTTTTCTAATGACTGCACCAGTGTGAATATACTGCCAGTATGGTACCACTTATTGCTAATGACTTGTCAAGTTTTATTTTATAGTTTTACAAGTTCTAAGAAAATAATTTATTTCATGCAAATTGACCACATGATCCAATATCAGAGTGTTTTAAGCACAAAAATCTTAAGCTTCACACATCAAAAACTTTCCCTTAGGCCAAAATGTTTGTTCTGAGCAGGTTCCTATCCACTCTGATAAAAGGCTTCTTTAATGTCTCCATGTCTTATTAAATGTCTCTATATTCACTTTGATGGGATTGCAAAGGACAGTAGCTGAATAAATATTTTATTCATTCTTTTGATGAAATATGTTAAAGGGGATAACCTAAGTCAAATTTCTTTTCTTTCCTTTTTTCTCTCCTCTTTAAGTTATAAAGCACAAGTGGTTTTCTGCAGTACAGATGGCTCACAAATAGAACCGAAGAATTGGCTTCAGCAGATCAGACCATTAGGATTAATGGTGTCTGCTATCTTGACTCCAGCAGTGGCCAGTTGGACACATATCCATGATGTAAATGAGAGGAAGGCAGGATGCTTTTAATGCTCCCAGTGGACAACCAGATTAGTCCATGAATCATGAGAAGTCATTATCCAGATTACTGTTATTATTATTGGACATACGTTTATCTGACTGCTTTAGAAATGCAGCAGAGCACTGCATAGTTATTTGCTTCTCATTTCAAATGTAGACTTTACTTTTCTACTATGAGATAAGATGAAAAGGTTCATTTAACTTGGTTTTTTTAAAATTTTTTTTAAACTTTTATTAGGGCTTGATTGCTCAAAAAGACGTAATTGCAAACACAAAAATGGGCACACATTTCTATGCCTAATCTGTTCATACAGTTCCACAACATTTACAGGCATAATCATTCCATGCATTTTTGCTACAGATATCTCTTTCGTATATGATATTGTAAACAGTTTTCTAACAACAAATTACATCAGATGACAACTGAAATAGTGAAATATTTTGGTTTTAATCTCATGGGAATGTTCTCATCAGAAGAAAAAGTGTCACATTAACACACAAGTAGCTTCTTCCACTGCCTGAAAGGCAAGAAATATGCTGCAAGGATGAGTAGAAGGTTTAAAACACTAGATGGTAACATGAATACTTAACTGAAAATAAGCTACGGACCTCAAGCTCTGCGAAGCTTCTGTCATTGGTGTTTATTAAATCACTTGAGATGTCTTGAATAAATTAATTCTGACTTGGTTTATTAATATTTTAGATTTTTTATTGCATGGTAAGGAATACAAGACAAAATTTAATTACCTTAATTTTCTCAATCTAGGAAGTGTCTTTCTATGTGTATCAAAAATGTCATGTCCAGACATTGTGGATAAATTGAATTTTTATGACAACAGCAAATCATATGAGTTTTCTTTCTTCCCTGATCTTTTGAGTTCTATTTGTCAGCAGCAACCTTAATAAATTAAGTGTCAAACTATATCTTTCTAATTCAAAAGATCATGAGATAAAATAAAATACTTCTAAAATTGTTATTATCAAACAACTAAACACATTGTAGACAGATGAATATTCCAATTGGATATAGAGAGAAGTAATGCCACCCCAGAATGTAACATGTGGAAATACCACTCCTATGACTGTTCACTTCCTCATACCTATATAGCAGTTATTTAAACAGAAGGAATCCTACAGTCCAGCAGCACCAACACTTTGTTACCGTGTCTCTCTGCGGCAGCAAAATGTCTTCAGATAAATCTCATTCTGCTCAGATGTGATGTCATTCTCTAATGATAGTAAAAATAATTGAAATAAAATAAATGTGCTCTTTGCAGAGTCGTTTGTTACAAAAAGTAAATTCAAATCAAATGTTTCATGAATCTTGGAACAAGATATGGATCAACAGAATGAGGTAAGACTGCCAAATATGCTTTTAGAGGACTGAAAACTTCATGAAGGCCAAACATTTTTTCCAGGCTTCCAGTTTTGACATGTAAGATGCTAGAAGTTAAATGTGAGTCTCTCTCTTGCTATCAGTCGTTACTCTCCAGACATTAGACTGTCATTGTGCTGAGGAAGGGTTTCTCTGCTTAGTACATGTGCATGAAAAACTATGAGCAAACTCTTTTTCATTAAGAAAGAACAGCTGTGGATCAAGAGGTGAGATTGTGCAACTGTACTGAACAATGCAAATGCTCATTTTCAGGAAAGAATGAGTAGATATACTGACACCCGTACAGGTATTCTTTCCTTAGGAACATATTATGACATAAAGGTTTTATGCACACTAGTAATTAAATGGTGCCTGAGAACATTACTGGGCTCTGGAATTCAGACACATATCCTGCAACATTTTTTTGAATAGTCCCTGACAACTTGGACTTGTGCTAAGTAGCAATGTCTCAAACAATTAATTGGCTCAATTTAGGAGTTAACAAGGGCCAGGGACCACTCCCAACAGACAGCCAGGCGACAACCAACCCATTTCGACCTTGAGGAAGTGAACTGGATGCGGATCACTCTATGACAGAAGAAATCGTATTCAGGGAACAGTTGAACTGAGTTTGATTTACTAATCTAGATGTAATCCACAAGTCTTAAAAGTGATAACAAAATTATATCAAATGGAAAAAATAATTTAAACAGTGTCTTAATGACCTATATGGAACTGAATTTTTGGCAGTGGTAGATGGAATTAATGGATAATAAAATTAGGCTTTTAAGAAAGTATATCTTGGAAGCCAACATACATTTCAGTTTTTCAGTTGCACTCAGGATCTGGGTGCTATTAAATGAATAATTGCTTAATATAAAGTAAAACTCTGATTTTGGATAAGGTTGATGTTACCTAAGAAAAGACTCTGTACAGTGGTGCAGTGATTACCAGTACCAACGAAATCCTTTAAATTGTCATATTATGGTGCACACTGACTATCAACCAGTTATCTTTATGATGCATAAGAAAAGAAGAAAAGGGAAAATTACATGGATAATGCCAAATCTATATATCCATCTGTGTTCCACTGTATCTATGCATTTAAGTCCATTAAAAATATCACAGACAATTTTGGAACTCTTCATAGATCCTAACTTA